ATTATAGAACAAGACAATAAAGTATATAAGCATCAAGAGTAATGTTAGAATCCTTGTAAGATTCGTAACAGTCTTCTTGAATGATTCCTGGCAGGCCTCTCCCCACTTCCATCGTGTATTCTTAGTAATTCTGTCAGAGGATGCGCTATCGTGGAAAAGTTCTTACAGAAACCACGATAGTATCCAATCATCCCAAGATACCTCAGCAATTCCTACCGTGTCCTGGGTATTGGGTACTCTCTAATAGCTGATACCTTGTGGTCCACATGGGTAACCTCTCCTTGACCGATTACGAAGCCTAGGTATTCTAGATGGGCCTTCCCAAATTCACTCTTGGCTAGGTTCACGGTCAGGTTAGCATCTTCCAGCCTCCTGAACAGCTCCCTGAGTTGCTCTAGGTGTGACTCCCAATCGTCGGAGTACACTACTATATCGTCAATGTATACAGTGCAGCCTTCGGCTCCTTTCAGCAACTCGTTCATCATACGTTGAAAACAACTCCCGCTGTTCTTCATCCCGAAGGGCAACACTGTATACTGATACAGTCCATCTGGTGTCAAAATCTGATATCTTTCTAGCCTCGGGAGTTAACAAGATTTGGTAATACCCCTTGAGCAGGTCGACCTTGGACACATATCTGGCACTACCCACCTGATCGATGCAATCACTCATCCTGGGCATGGGGTGGGAATCTGCCACAGTGATGGAGTTCACCTTCCTGTAGTCCGTGCAAAAGCAGTACGTACCGTCGCTTTTCTTAACCAGCAAACACGGGGAACTCCACTCGCTGTTGCTAGACTCGGCAAGGTCATTCTCAAGAAGGTACTCTACCTCCTCCTTCATCAATTCTCGCTTCTCAGGGCTTACCCTATAAGCACTCTGTTTAATGGGCCTGGCGTCCCTCACCTCTACGTCGTGCGTCACACTCTTGTGGCGTCGGGGCACGTCGGTAAAAAGAGATGCATTCTCTCAACAGGTCCGTCAGATCCACTGTCTCTCTTCCTTCCAGGTGTTGAAGCTTGACTCCGATATTCTCCAAACTCTCCGCATTGGAGAGATGGGTGCCGTCTACCCTGGACCATTTTCCTTCCTCTGCTGGAATCTCTTGATTCACCTGCACGCATAAGACCACTTTCGGCTGTAGTTCTCGGGGCATTGTTCTGTCCTGCACGGTGGCTCCTCCTTCAGGGAAGAAAGGCTTCAGACGGTCAATATGACACACCTGTGTCTTGCGGGGTCTGTCCGGCTTGCTGACTTCATAGCTTACTGGACCCAATCGTCTTAGCACCTTATACGGTCCCTCAAATCGTAACTCGGTCACACGGCTCTTCCCTGGCAGTAACACCATAACCTGGTGTAACGGGGGGTGGGGGAAATAGCTCTATCTTGTCCATTATTCCACCCCCCAGTTAACTAACGAGGCCGGGGGAAACAGTTCTCTCTAGTCCGTTATCCCGTCCCCAGTTAGCTAACTATTCTAGAGCACCCTCCAGAGATCCTAAGGCAACCTCTCTCGTTCAACACCTTGTAACCTAGGTATTTGACTACCTAGGTGCTAAGACTACAAGGCGCCGTCACTTGATCAGCTACCCGAAACTCTAGAGAGAACTCTAGAATACAGAATCATTGCCACAAACGTATAAGAGAAAACGAGAGGAAAGAAATGAATAGTGAAGTAATTAGTGAGGGTTTGGGGTGAGAGGGAGAGAGGTGGGAGGAGCAAGGAGGGTCATTAGTTGAAAGTGAGAGTTTAGAGAAGGGTGGAGGGAGAGGTGTAGATAGGTAGAAGTAGAAGAGTAGATAGTAGAAGTAGAAGAGTAGATAGTAGAAGACGAAATGCTGCCACCATCCATTCATGATTATTACATACAAGACAAGTAATGGAACTTGCCTGTATCACAAAATTCTCAAAGGATGTTATCATGTTCATTATTAGTAGTTCCCATCTTTATCATGTACTCATTAATATCTTGAATCTAGTAACCACCGAGGCTTTCTCACCTCAACTCAAAGCTCTAGGGAACAAAGACGATTTAAATAATAAGTTCATGTATTTCACATACTAAGTATCATAATATAAGCAATCCCATTAAAATGTTAAAGAGAGTCATCATCCAAGAATTCGAGAACCCTACAACTTGACTGCCCCTGATCATCACACAACATATGTAAACACGACCAAGTCACCTTAATGTTCACTCACCGAGGACTGAGTCTAAGTTGAATAGAGAGGGGGGGGGGGTCTGTAGTTGACGGAGACTCCCGCCCTGCCGGCCGACAGCCTCCCTGCTAGGGCCGTCTGCTCTGCTGTGCTGGCTCGTGTGCTGTTGTCTCGTTAATGCTTTTTGCTCGATAGTTCTCCGAGTATTTATTGGGGAACCTAGTAGCTAACTCCGCCCACAAATAGATAGCCTCCGGCACTCTACCAAGCCACTCCTTAAACGTCGGCATGTTTGAAGGCTACCTGGCTCCAATTATACGCTTAGCGGAAGCAAGGTGAAATTCTCATGATCTGACCTCAGGTCACTTGAGGTCATTAACGCTTTGAGGTGTGAGATCTCAGGCAGACAACTGGCGCCTCTCAGATCCTTGTCTGTGACTCATGTACTCTATATATATTTTAAATAAACTAACTCAAACACTTTTACAGTGTTACACTGGGACCCAACCTGGAACACTCTTGGCATAGCTTTCTTGTCATACAACTCTGACATCTTTTGCTGCGCCTCCTTCAAATGCTTTCCTGCTAGCTCTTTCGCCAATGCGAGACGCTCCTTAAATTTCTGCACATATTCGCTGACCGTTCCCACGGTCACTCCTGGCGCCCATTGCTCTCTCAGCACGGACAGAGGACTCCGTACCTCATGTCCATATACCAGTTGGAACGGTGAGAAACCCAGTGACTCCACTACAGCGTTCCGTATAGCAAACAATGCAGGGTACACTGCCTCATCCCACTCGGCTCCTTGTTCCGCACAGAACACTCTCAGAATGGTTTTCAGTGTGGAGTGAAACCTTTCGATCGCCCCTTGCGACTGCGGTCGGTAGGGCGACGACCGAATCTGAGTTACTCCCCAATTCGACACGGTCTGTCTAAACCACTTGGACTGGAATACGCTCCCACAGTCCGTCTGGATTTCCCTGGGCATTCCCACCCAAGAGAAAAAATGCTGCAACTGCCCGGCTACACCTTTTGACGTCAAGCATCGCATCGGGACTGCTTCCGGGAACCTTGTTGCCGCACACATGATGGTCATCAGGTAGGCGTTTCCCTTTCTCGTCCGTGGCAACAGTCCTACCCCGTCGACCAACAGACATTCAAACGCTGGCCCAAATGCAGGAACAGGGACTAACAGGGCCTTTGGTATCGCTGGTACACTCTTTCCTGCTCTCTGACAAGGTAAGCAAGTCTTACAGTGACGCCTCACATCGGCGTCCATACCCGGCCAGTAGGAATGATTCCTGATCTTGTGTAGAGTCTTGGTCACTCCCAGGTGACCTGCAGAATCCACAAGAGTGCGACAGATCCAGCACTGCCGCTCTGCACTGGGCCGGCAACACTACCTGGTGCCTCATACCTAGTGATTCCTCTCTGGCCTCCATTGTCTCAAAAAGAATGTAAAGACTTTACCTATGAAAAAGAATGTACCTATGCCATGACGCAGCTGCAAAAGGTGAACTTCCGTCTTCTCACCTGGGCCTGTTCTGGCTCGGAGTGGGGCTGTTCACCTAAATGCAGTCCGACCTGGACACAAGCACATTGGACAACACACAGATGTCACTGCTTAGGACGAGATGCTGGCTGGGAAGCGCCTGGTTCTGCTCCAATACACTGCTGGCTGGAACTGGTTTTGGCTGCACCGAAGTGCTCGTCGAGGCTGGAGAATAACAGCTGCTGTAGGACAGCGAGACGATGCTGGCTTGCTTTATGGCTGGCGAGCTGAAGATCGGTCCATCCACTCACGCACTCCATCAGAACGTTACGAACGAATCAGAATGTCTAGGTATCAGAACGTTGATAGAGTGGGCATGCGTAGCCCCTCAAGCAGAGGGGCGCCTAGGTCACACTGCGAGCGAAACGAGATGCGTACTCATACAACGATGCTGATGGTGTGATGATGAATAGACGGGACTCTTCTTCCAGTCCCTTAAATACGTCACCCATACTGCGCGCAGTGTTTGCGGAAGGCGCTGCGCCTATGTTTTTTCTACTCTATCAGAAATTTCTCCGCTTTCAGAGAAAACTGTGACCATTTAATTTTCATAATATGCATGAAGATAATATTTATGAAGAGAAAATCTGTAGGAGCCATGACGAGGGTTCAAACCTATAGGGTGATGTTCCCACGCACACGCTCTAGTGACTAGACCACGACATGACCATGTCACGGTCTAGTCGCTAGACCGTGTGAACACCCACCGCATAGGTTCGAGCCCTCATCATGGCTCCTACGGATTTTCTCATTGATGCAGTCACGTAATCACACTGACATGTCAGTATGATTACTCTGAAGTGGAAAATATTAAACTATATTCATACCTCATTTAGAGAAAACTATACTCACCACTGTACGACTTCAAATCTTACACCATCCACCTCCAGCCGTTTAATGGTCTTCCCAGGGGATTGTTTAGTACCCCTTATTATAATGGTGTGGTTGGTGTTGGTCCTTCTTTATGGACAACCAATCCAAAACTCGGTAGAGTGCTATACTTCTTACCAGGAGATCACTCTGAGTGCTTCTGGCTCTAGGAGAGGGGTCAACGTCACTCGTTTAGGGGATGCGGCTCCAACAATAGCCTCGTTGTCACGTGTGTACACACCAACTCGAGCCGCTGTGACTCCCCACTCTCTTCTTATGTGATATGATCTCCTCAATCCCCTTTGACTTATTATTATTCCGTTCTACCCTGTCCACAGCTGTGGTTCTTGGTTCTTTCTCTCTCTTACCGACTTTCCGGGAAGCCTCACTAGGACAAGGGCAAACACCAGCAAATTTAAATACATTTACTGGACAAGGCACAAGGACAATACATATACACGTACAATAATATATATATCTCTTAACACACTATACTACTGTAGTCAGGTCGCTCTCCAATACCATCAGGACTATCATCTGCTCATCAAGTGGTATCCTAACTCCTGACTCACCATCTAATACTACCATCCTCATCAAGTAGGTCAAGTCTTGTAACACAATGTTGCACTATCAGCCTCACCAAACGGGTAAAACATGCAGTACAATATATGGCTCTACCAACTCTGGAACATATAAATATTTACAGACAATCCAGCCTATGGCTATAATAACATAAATATTCCTTTATGTACAACAATGTTCAATCAAACATCCTATCAGTCCTAGAACACACACATGTATGTCTCTGCAGGTAATCCAACCTACGGATGTAACTCTATACTTAAGTATAAGTACTCCTTGGCACAAAAATGGTAATCAATCATTCACCTTTTACTGCGTCTTGCACGCTAATGACAACTAAACACTCTACCAACTCCCTACAATTAGTCAACCAGAACTTCCCTTCCACATCTGGAAGTTCACTATTCTGATCTCTTCAGGTTCTTCTGGGTTTATCTACCAGGATCCTCCGCAGCTCTTCCAGGCTGCTACACCATGAAGTCTTCCTTGATCAACAAAGGTGCTTCACCACTGTTATCACAAAAACATGTAAACTCTACTCCACTGCTTCTCCTCTCACAGCTTGAGGTCCAACTCCTCACTATAGGGACTGCTGCTCCACAGAGCTCAGTATTTCTTCAATAGCCTTGGAGTTCCATCCACTGAATCCTCCTCTACTGGCCTCGAAGTTCACTCAGCAACTCCTTCCAAAGACAAACCTGCAACACACCAATAAAAATGTTTCCCTTTAAACACATAAACGAAAATAACCACACAATGTGTTCGCACTTAACATCTCTCTGCTCTCTATATACTGTGAGAGTGGACTCCCCCGTTTGGGCTGGTTCATGCTCCGCCCGGCCAGGCGGCCCTCGAGGCAGCTACTCTGCCAGGAGCTGGGCTCCCTCAGTCACCTGCCAACGCTAGGAGACGGACGTCGCTCCGTCCTCCAGGACGTTCCTCCATCTCTACTCTCTTATTTTAAGCCTTCTGCCTTAATAAAATGTCTAATGCATCAATAAACATTAACTACGATAGCTGGGCACACGATCAACTACCGGCAATCACTGTAAACTGGCTAAATTTGGGCTTACCACAATAAGGTCTCATGCAGGGCGCTCTCTGACGGGGTGGCGACACTCAGGGTACCTTAGGCTACCCACAGAACTGCCTTAACTGTCCCCTCAACACCTTCTGCAGTTCCTGACTTGAGCTGGCACGCCTCCTAACTTATTCCTCAGTTGAGATGTCTGTCCACTTCCTTCCTCTTGAAGGTATATCAACTTGGGGTTCCTCTCTAACAGGAGCAAACACGGAGTGCGGCTTCCCCTCACGATTTCTTAAGCTCAAGTGACTCGAGCTCCTCTCAGCGAGCCTCACGCCTCCAACAAATTATCCACATCTCATAACCAGTCATTTCTCTATTTCCTGATTCACTGCCCATATTCTTAAATTGGCTGTCTAATTTACTCAATCTTTTTATGTATGTATCTTCATGTCTACACTTCAGTGACCTCTTATTCAGGTCAGGTCTTGCTGAATAATTCTCAAGGGGAAGACTCGTTTCCCCTGCAGGCTGAGGTTCGAGCCCTCATCATGGCTCCTACGGATTTTCTCATTGATGCAGTCATGTAATCACACTGATGAATGTCAGTGTGATTACTCTGAAGTGGAAAATATTAAACTATTTTCATACCTCATTTAGAGAAAACTATACTCACCACTGTACGACTTCAAACGTAACACCATCCACCTCCAGCCGTTTAATGGCCATCCCAGGGGATTGTTTACTACCCCTGCAATGAGAATTTAATTTAGTGACAAGCACATGGAAAGTCATCACTAACATCCTAGGACCTAAACAACAATCACATAACAAGTAGATAAAACTCTCCAAGGCTGGTTATACACTTGCACCAGAATTAGAAATGGCAACTGATTTTAATAGTTTCTTTTCATCAGTTGGCTTTAGGTATTGTCTGTTGTACTAGCTCTATCTATAAATCCAACATTATGTTTGTAACATCTTCTATGTATGTACTTGTACCTGAATATTTTTTTGTTTAATTGGTGCTAACCTTGCCAGAAAAATTCCATACACCCAGACTTATGTTACTACATATCTTACCAGCAGTAGCTATCCTAACTCAATTCTTCTTTCACCAGTCAGCCTGGCAGATGTTGTGTCCATTCACTCACTAAAAACCAAAGCTGGGAACACTAGTGAAATACCATCTATGGTATACAAGAGTGCCGGTCATGCCCTTGCACGAGTAACTCCAGTTATAATAATAATATTTGATTTAGGAAAAGTACATACATAGTTGCAGTTACAAACATTCTGATTGATTTATAGATAGAGGTAGTACATACAATACCTAAAGCCACAAGTACGCATAGCGTTTCGGGCAAGGTGAGGTGGGGGAAAAACACTTAGACTAAAACTTAATAGTAATTGAGCTTAAAGTATAAATTGCGTTGAAAAAAATAAACAAAAGATTAAAAAGGGGGGAACATGGTAGAAAATAGCCAATATACAAGTTGGTCAACAAACAGCATTGTTTAAAAATAATAAGACATGGGTTGACATTTAGGGGTAAGGTAGATTACATTGAGTTAATTAGGTAGTACTTAGTTTTCATCTAAACTGGTTGAGAGAAGTACAGCCTTTGACATGATTGGGAAGGTCATTCCACATTCTGGGTCCCTTGATTTGTAGAGCATTTCTAGTTTGATTAAGTCGTACTCTTGGAATATCAAATAGGTATTTGCTTCTGGTGTGGTGCCCATGGGTTCTGTTACAACCTTCTAAACAGCTGTTAAGGTCAGGATTGACATTACAATTCAGAGTTAAATATATAGAGTACACATGAGAGGATGTGCAGTGACTTAATATCTAACATATTCAGAGATTTGAGTAAGGGTACCGAGTGCTGGGGCAGCACTCGGTTCATAAAGGAGGCGATACTGATGACAAATAATTACAGACTGATATCTAATATACCTATACGAGATGAGGTCTTGGGAAAATAGAACGAAAAACCAGATTGGTATCCTTACTTTATACACCCACAAGGCTCAGATGGTGTCTTGCGAGCCTTAAGATACTTTTCAGTACTTCCGGGAGCACACCTTTCCTGGTCGCAGTCATTCCTAGACGCCATGTTCACTACCTGAAAAAACTTTCATTGTCATACACCAATACTGATGGACAACAAAGGGAGACATAAGATATCAGACCATTTAATACTTTTTTGGCTATACAGTATGTTGTATGTATTATACTTGTCAGTGTATAAACCAGACCTTTCCTTAATTTTTATTGCTAATGTTAACATTGTCTATCTGAACTTTCATAATTTGAAGATTTACTTCCAAATAAAATGTACTGTAGTAGGCCTTTTCTGCGTTTAGTGTGATTTTGTTGGTTGACATCCATGAATGGACTGTAAATTCATCATTTACAATATTATTTAGTGTGTGGGGGTTAGGGTCTGAATAGATGAAGGCGTTATTGTTAGCAAATTGTAAGGTTTATGTCACTATCTTGTGCTTCCCACTCCCCCAATATATGTGCCTAAACCATGCCACTTCATCACTGTAATCACGGCTATCAACGTATATCATGATTGTTGTAGTGAACGCAAATTTTACTACAATGACTTAACAACGTTATAATAACCTTTTAAGTTTTCTATTGTTACATCAGTTATGGTGACAATAAACACAGACACTAAGAGAATATAAATATTTGGATGTCAGATATGTGACATATCTGACAGATATGTCAGAGCAATACTTGAATATGCGGTTCCAGTCTGGATTCCACATCTAGTTAAAGAAAATGAAGTTAGAATGGGTTCAGAAGTATACCACCAGGCTAGTTCCCAAGCAGAGAGGAATAAGCTACGAGGAAAGATTATTGGAACTAAACCTCACAACACGGACGACAGAAGTTAGGGGAGACATGATCACTATCTATAAAATTCTCAAGAGGAATTGACAGGGTGGATACGGATAAACTGTTAACACGGGTGGTACGCGAACAAGGAGACACAGGTGGAAATTGAGTACCCAAATGAGAGACAGGTGGAAATTGAGTACCCAAATGAGCCACAGGGACGTTAGAAAGAACTTTTTCAGTGTCAGAGTAATTAACAGATGGAATGCATTAGGCAGTGATGTGATGGAGGCAGACTCCATACACAGTTTCAAATTATAATTTTAATAATTCATTGTGTCGGGGGGGGGGGGAGACAGGAACCCAAAGTGTAATAATACAAGTTAGGGGTATATCAAGGTCACTGCAAGCACAGTCAGTCACGTAAAACATGCTTACCCTGCAGAGTTCGCCAGAGTACACGTGACGCCCTCGGCTCAGTTTATATACCATCTGGCTTCAGTTCTTCAGGAACAGTAAATGTTGGTAGACCATTGTCAGTGTACATGATGTTTAGAATTCGTACGAATTCTTGGGTGTTTGTGTCTGCAATCCTTTCAGCAGTGCGGATGAGTCCCATTATGGTACTGTGATTCCTGTTGGGGAGCAACATCTGGTGTGGTGAAGGCTGGCTTGTTGATTGACCAGAGTGAGGTTGTGGCTGTCACAGCTGCGTTGATGATTGGTTGGCGAACTGGGAGCCAGGGCCCCAATGGGATGCATTCTGTGCAGAAGCTCCGCCCCCACCCGGAAACAGAGGAAAGTTGGCGGCTTGCACGTTGAATGTTGATGGTTCACGGCGAGTGGTGTTGGCTTGCCTGGCGTCGGTCATCTTCTGTATTTCCTAACGTCTTCGAGGGCACTCGGCAGAGACGGCAGTATGGTGACCTTGGCAGAGAAGGCATTGGAGGAGCTCGTTGGTGCATCGTTTGAGGTGGTGATTCTCGGCGCACTTGCTGCACCGTTGGTCTTGAGAGGGACATTGTTTCGTAAAGTGCTCATAGCTATAGCACTTGAAGCATTGTCGAAGCTGGCAGTAGTGTTCTTTGCTGATTTGTCGGGGTGGGCAAGCGAGGCCGAAGCACCGGAAGCCGTTGGTGGTAGCAGAGGTAGCTTCCTCAGGCGAGGTGATGGTGACCTTCATGGTGGAGAGGTGACTGTCCTGCACAGGAGTGAACTTTACAGAGACAGCCGTCAAGAGAGGATTCTGTTCGGTTAAACTGGTGGCGACGTCGATGGCAGCTTTTCCGGAGATGAGGGAGCTCACTCTCCGGACAAACACCGTCCTGGCTGCGAGGTAGTGTCGTGGTGGGGTGAGGAACACGTCCGCCTCATCGAGGGCAGTAAGGTTGGTGGGGTCAAGTAGACACTGTACTGTTTCAGCATTGCTGAACAGCAGTTGAGGAGGTCCTTCATCGTCGACGACGACGTCCAGTGGTGCAACGTTGGTTGCTGTTCTGATCAAATCAGAGATTTTTGACCGGGTAAATGTCCGGTCCCCCTCTAAATCATACCTTGATTCGGTAGATCATGGTGGCTCATGATCATCGTTGCTGCTCTATGTTTACCCACCCGGCAGTGCTAGGTGCAAGAGAGCCTTGTCTAGAGGGTTGCACTTTCCTTAAGAGGTCTCCCGTCTCTTACCGGTATAGTGCACCGGATCAGGGTGGGGTCTGACCTCCTAAAGCAAAGTGCTCTGTCTGGGTGTCGAAGCGAAGTGAAAATGTTCAAATGGTTGGCAAGCAGGGGTTTGAAGAACAGGGCGAGGATGCAGAAATCTTGAGCGAGGAACTGGAGACGAGGTGAAGAGGGGAGATGAAAGATCGGTGGCCCAACCACCGAGGATTTGAACTTGAGGCGAGTGAAGTAGGGTTGAGTGGGGCGTCATTTGCAGTACACACACGGGCCGGGCACCCAAGCAGCTGGCAGTTGATGGTTGATGTTAAATCATGACATTAGTGGTCTTCTTTTTTGTTGAAGATTTCAGCAAACTCTGATCATTGGTCTTCTTCTTGGGCTTGTCGGTCTTGGTCTTGGTGGTCTGACTTTGTGGAGCTATCGATGGGGGTTGTTGGTGCAGTGTCGTGACGGAAATCGGCAGCTGAGTAGTGACATTTCCGTGAAGTAGGAGATGGTGTTCCAACAGACACGTCCTCATCCGATTCATCAGATGAGTGAAGAGCAGAGGTGGTAGATCGCAAAGGTTGAGTTCTTGAAGATTGAGTTCTTGAAGGTTGAGTAGCAGTAGTACGTACTGCAGCAGAAGGGACTTGGTAGTATATACCCTCTACAGGGTCACACCAAGGGTCCATTGCAGCTGAATTCACCACTGGGACGGGTGAAGGGTCAGCAACAGCTGGAGAAACGTGTGGAGCAGGACCTGACAGTAAGTCTGAAAGCGTGGCCGCGTTCACAGTGATGTCATGGTTAGCAACTGGAATTGTAGCAGAAGTGGGGGTCTCAGGAGGCAGAGTCTTGTGAGCTGAAGGTACTAGAACAAGATCTGAAGTCTGCATTGAAGTGGCAGAATGGTCGTCAGGTGAAGAGTCGGCATCCTCTAAAGGGTCAGTTGCTGGAGTTGAACCTGGAGCGTTGAAGACTTCTTCAGGAATATTGCAGGGAGACCATTCGCCTTGTAAAGAATTTTCAGAATTCTCACGAATTCTCGGGGGTTAGTGCCAGCAGTCATTCTGGCCGTCGATATCAAAGCTTTTACTGTGCTACACAGTGATTGGCCGGGATGGGGTGGAGGCGGCGGTGTCTGGCTCGATGAGTGGCCGGGTGACTGGGATCTGGGTCCCCATTGGCTAGTAGAGGCAGTAACAGGATGTTGCTGGTGTGTGGTGGTGATAGCTCCTCCTCCCTGAAGCTTCGGGAAAGTAGCTGCTTGGATGTTGAATATTGAGGTTGAGGTGATAGCTGAAGTGCTGGAGCTGGTGCCTGCTGCAAAGGTAGAGGAAGATTTGGATTTCTCCTAGGTCTCCAGGTTTTTGATAACTTCTTGTCTGCTTGGACATTGATGGGATATTGTGACATGTTTGCAGTTGCAGAGCAGGTAGTGTGGTTCTTTCGAAGTGCAGATCGAACAGTGGTGGTCTTTGGCGCAAATGCTGCATTTCTGGATAGTCTGTTGGCACTTGTTGGTTTAGTGAGAGTAGTCGTAGCATCGGAAGCATTGGGTGATATTGTAGTTTTTTTCCTTCTTCACTCGGAATGGCAGGACGTGGACTTCATAGCAGAAGAAGCCATCTGATATATCTTGTCCCCTAACTCCCCTTGCCACTTCGGAGGGGTATAGGGTGTTTATGTAGCTTCAGGGCACCAATCCCCCCAGCCACAGGGCATGGCGAGAAGGCACCCCTAAGCATACCTAATACCCTATCAAAACACAAACTAAAATACACATAAATGGCAGATCTCATCACAACCCACAAGAGTTAAGATGATACTAATAATACACAATAGTAACCTGAAAAACAAACATACATTAAATGGAACATTCTTTTGTATTTGGTTTTTTCTTATATGGGACACAGCAGACACAGGTAGGGGTGCACAGTATATCATTAAAAAAGAACTAACGCTGAAGGCCAAAACAGCAAGCTGCCTAAGCGGCAGGATTGGTGACTTGACATCGGCATACATGGAAAAAAACTATTCATAGTGGAAGCTCCTAACAAGGCCCCGGAGCGGGAGGGATATCATGTATGCGCATGGGGGTCCCTCCGGCCGCCGCCTTACCCACTCGTGGGCTCCGGCCAGGTCATCCACCCTCTTGTGAGACACCATTAGGAGAAGTGGTACTCCAGATGACGACTCTGCTTAGATAGTTGGCTACCAGCTATCCTGGCTGTAGTTCACTTAAGCGAGACTATATTAACCCTTATGCACCCTGTGTACGGTGATCCTGGGACTAAAGTGGTCTGCCCCTAGATGTGGTCTTGGATCATATTCTGTAGATGGAATATGTCCAGGTCAGGGCTTTCACAGAGCAAATCTCAAGGTCGCTCTTGGCGAGACCCATATCCTGTAGACCACGCGCACTCCTTGCACCATCCTCCCCTCAAATTAATGGTTATTGACGAGGCGGATGCTGTGTGCTTCCCGGTATATTCCCTGACCTTTTGAAGGATCTTTGGGGTACCGTACTTGTCGCACTTGTTCTGAGACGCGCGGCGGTTCTGCCGCTTATATACCTCCCGGCCTTTTTTCCCCGTCATTTTCGTGCAGTCATGTTTTCTTTCACCTGATGCCTCAGTTCACCTAGCAGTAAATAGGTACATAGAAGTTAGGGAACTGTTATGGGTTGCATCGTGAGGAATGTCAGAAGTTGGACCTATAGGAAAGTCTGGATAATGACAAGTACAGGCTTCCTGTCCCCGACAATAGTAACTGTCATATATGGTCTAAGATAGATAAGGTTGTTGCCTTCACTGATTGTTTATTTATATATTTTCGTGTTTATATTTGATTTCATTAGTACAAAATGTGGACTGATATGTCAAATTCAAATGTTTATTCAGGTAAAAGTACATACATAGAATATGAGTTAGAAAACATAATGCTGGCTTCATAGAGCTAGTACATAAATTTAAATTTTGCAAGTATTTACCTACTTAAAATTTTCTTAGATTAAGGACCTGCCCGAAACGCTGCGCGTACAGTGGCTTTACAAGACTGTAATTACCATATTACGTATCCTCACATTCCCAATGTACCTTCTTGTATATGCATAAATCAATAAATAAACAAACAAACATACTATACCTAAAGCCAGTAATACGCACAGCGTTTCAGGCAAGGCACAGCGTTAACAATGTGGGGTGTGGGAAAATCTGACTCCAATAATTTGTAATTAAAATAAAATAATTCGATAGCTGTGAAGGACCACCACTTTTTGAGAAAAAGTGGAAAACAAAATGAGACAATAGATTAAACTGATACCAAGAACTAGTGTTCTATGGATCTTAATGAAACTGTAAAGGGAGTCAAATTAACCTGCACAAAAATGGGGGGTTCAAGTGCTAGGATATAATTAAGTTCTAGCACCTATAATCCGACGCTGGTTCATTCGTCAGAAAGAAATGTATAGGCATAAATTTATATCGTGGTTCATATATAAATCAAATAGAAAATTGTTAGTAAATAATATGAATTCCTAAATGACAGGTAAATGGTGATTTAAGAGGAAATCATTCATGTAACAAACTATTAGTGTATCTAATACTAGAAATCAAGTCAGGTTAGCTGTAAATTCTAGAAAGGCGTAATTTGTTGTCACGATCCACCAACGACGTGTTGCCTCAAGCAAATTGTTGCACGTGTAGGTAGAGAAGCCTAATACCTCGGTTGTCGTGGACCCGGAGCTGGAAGGCAATTACATTGTAGAATTCCACTAATTGGTAACTACAAGTACATCATGAATTACGAAATATCTTCCTACAGAATATAATTATCACTGCAGAAATCTTGGGTAAATAACTATGCAATTTATATTCCATTAAATGACAGAATAAATTTTGAGATTGAACGTACTGGATTTTGATGTTAATTAATTCACACAGCCTAACGACAACTAGTCTAAATATAAACATGTGCACAATATTATAGTTTAGAAAATGATTAGTTGCCGGGCCGAGTGTCCAGTGATGTAGGAACGACTCCAGATCCCTCGTCCTCAGCTGCCGTGATAAGACGTTACTTGTGGGTTGGAGTAATTATTAGTTCCTGGGACACTGCCGTGACGTGGCACCGCTCTACTAGTTGTGGGAGCGAAATACAAACTGTTAGCAAGATCAAAACGTAGATCTCTGTTGTTCGTTGCTAATGGTGTCCGAGTCGCGTGGTGGCGGGCGACGTTCTCGAGTCGTCTTCCTCTTCCTGGTTGCGCATCCGCGGCTCTCGATAGACATCTCGAGCGTTAATGGATTTATATATATCGGAATTAACTAAGGAAAGAAGAGATGGTGACGAGTATTGATGTCATTTAATTCTTCCGTGTTAAAATATAACTTCGCGTAACATAAATTGGGTTTATTAAAGTCACGCAGCTAATGGAGGAATTTAAAGTGAAATCATTTAAGGGACCTAGTCTATGGAACTCACTCCCTAGTGAATTGAAAAACTGTAAAACTTTTGCCTTATTTAAAAGCAAAACCAAAAAGTACCTAACTTCATCTTAGTTTCCTACAATGAGCTTAAAATTTGCTCTGTACCTAGTGTTACCCAATCTCCTAATTTTTATGTAATATCAAACAACCTTATCATTGTGTTCATTGCTGTCTTCTTTTATGTGCTAGCCATATGCTGTATTGTGACTACCTGTACCAATTTTTGTCAACTACCATTCAAGCTGTCATTGCAATCAATCTTAGCTACCTATGTGCTTTAATATACTGTACCTACAATTTTCTCTCATCTTCTTTTTTTCATTTCATGTAACTGTTATCATTTTTTTGTCTATAAATTTTGCAAGTATTTACCTCCTTAAAATTTTCTTAGATTAAGGACCTGCCCGAAACGCTGCGCGTGCTAGTGGCTTTACAAGACTGTAATTACCATATTTGTATCCTCACATTCCTTATGTACATTCTTGTATATGCATAAATAAATAAATAAATAAATTTACATTAAAATAAATTTCCTCTAGAATGTTTAATATCAACTAAATAAAGGAGTTCCAGTAAGCAGTAGTATGCTACGAAATTAAACTTAATAGTAAGTAACTATTTTTAGTAAAAGGATTAATAAACTGGACTCTCTTATAAATCCAACGTACTAAATGTGGAAAGAATTCATGTTTCTGCGTGTCGTTCCTCGCGTCGTCACTCTGATTAGGAAGAATCTGGCAATATGTTTAATATAAATGATGATGATGATTTAAATCTACAAGTTAGTGATTTTAGTAACTACTTGTTGTTAATACAAAAGTTGTATAAAATACAAAGATGTATGAAACTGTTGGTTATTTCCAACAGTGGGTGTTAGGTCCATATTTTGTACAACGTCTTTCTGTGCCTATCTGTACTATCATTTTGTTCAAGTTCAAGTATGTTTATTTACCATATTATAATATAATATATTATTATATAGATATGTTTATCTTTAACATTGTGATCATTGCTGTCTTCTTATATGTGCTATCAATATAATCTATATGTGCTATGTGTCTATGTGCTATAATCAATCTGCTGTATGGTGTCTATTAATCTTGTTTAAATTACCAATCAAGTTGTCAATGTAATCAATCAGAGCTTTAATATACCAATGTGCTTTACTATACTTAATAATCTCTCATCTCATTTTTTCTTGCAATGTATTTGTATTAATTTTATTAATTCTGCTAGAATTTACCAACTTAAAATTATCTGTTAGATTAAGGACCTGCCCGAAACGCTGCGCGTACTAGTGGCTTTACAAGATTGTAAATACTATGCTATGTATTCTCTCAAACCCAATGTACCTTCTTGTATATAAATAAATAAATAAAAAATAAATGAATAAATATTGAGACAAGAAAAAATACGTCTCGAAGGGATACAGTAGCTTAGGCTATTTCTACCTCTCCCCCCCCCCCCTCTATTTCAAGTCCCTCAAGGGGCGCACAAATTCAGTGAGTACATTTTGTACATACGTCTCTGAGGATATCTGTACAATCATTTTGAAGTGTGGGTTAGCGATACTATATCACGGAGAGCTGATGTACTTGTTTTTACCTGAATTTACATAAGGCCAGCATCATTAGTGGCCTCGACGGGACAGAAAGCCGTCAGCTTATCAAACATTCCACCTTTATTCCTGCGGATTTTTTGTAGAGATAAATTTTAAATTAAAGTATTGACTTAGCATTTACGGCTTGAGCGGGTATAGACGACTCCATGTGTCTATTATCCTATGGGTGAAAAAATCTCGTTTTCTCTCCTAATTGTGGCGTGTTGAGGTTGAAGCTGTTTCATTGTACGTGTTGCATGAGATACAAGTGGCTTGGATGATTATATTCCCATTCGTTCAGTATTTTAAAGGTATGTCAGCCCTGTCGTGTCTGCTGACTTTTCCAAAGCAGATATACCCTTATGAAGTTGAAGTCTCCATGCTTGGATACAGTAGTGGCGCACCAGAGACTTATACAGCTCAATAACCACTTTCTTCGCCTTGTACTCAGCAATATTTTATCATATGTGTATATGTTTTCCTGCACTATTGACACCAGCTCTCCCGAGGCATGAGGTGTCGTGCTTCCATGCACACGATACATATATCCCAACTAATTCATACAAAAATTATAAACTTAAGTGTGTGTGGACTCGTAACAGCAGATTGTTCACGATGGAAAAATTTAAATAATTTTCATGCTGAAAATTTAAATAATCTTGTTTTCGGTGATAAGTTTAATATTTGTCATGGAACAGAAGGGAACGGTCTAATATCACTCACGTTCTTATCGATGAGGATATACTGAGAGAGTAATCACACTAACGTGATGTACCAATGAGAAAATCCGTAGGAGCCGTGATGAGGATTCGGATTCTTATCACGGTTCCAA